GTGTGTGAAGTGAGTAAAGCAGAAAAGATCAAAATAATTTTTTCCTTAATTCCGATTCCATGACTCATTGTCAATTTATTTAGAATAATTTTATATCACCTTTATCCATATAAGTTATTTGCATATTCTATATTAAAACACATGCGCTAAAATGTCTTTGAAAGATAAGAATATTTGATATATCTTCAGATGATAATTATTCAATTATTTCATAAGAATACGCGGAAAAATACGTACGGCGTTAATCTATGCGCCAATAAATAAATATTGTCCATATTTTTTCGAATCAGATTTTGCATAAAATTTCAATGTTAAATACGTAGATTCTCATTAAAACTATTGCCCATATTTATCCCAAGTCGATAAAAGCAGCGCGTGTGTATAATTTAAAACAGATATTGCAATTAAATGCAAAAAATATCAATAATACATAGTTTAACAGAAATGTAAAGTGATATAAATTTGTAGTATATAGCATTTTAAAAAGATTATAATGAAACATTTGTAATATGCAAGCAAACAAATCATTTTTAATGATGGTTACAAATGAAGCCTAATGTATGTACCAGTATGGTACCAGTACATCTGCGATATTTAGTCAATCGTAATTATCAAAAATATATTTATGGGATCAGTTAACGATAAAAAGGTTACTTTAAACATATATTTTTATTAATGTATCCCTCAAAATAAAGACTATAAGTGTTTTTGAAACAAGCTGTTTCCGTTCGAAAACATCGGACAGTGTAATCATTCGCATATTAAACATCCAATTAATGACATTACAACAAATTGCATATGGTTGATTGGAAACACAATTAAAGAGATCGGAAAAGGCCTGAAGGAAATGACGACCGTTTTTGTATGAAACACTCATTATACGAGGCCTCGAGCTAAATAATATGGACAGTTTCGAAATTATCATTATTAAAATTTATGCTGAAATTGTAGCAGAAGTTAATAAGAAAAATAAAATTTTACAACTCATATCAAAATTATATATTAAGGATAATACGGGGTACAAAGATCCAACTTGCCTTTGAGCAATTATATTATGAAAACCAAATCAATTATATCACAACAAATAACACATATCCAACAAACTATCTGACTATGTTCAGTAAAACTCCAGGGTAATCTGGGACGACCAAGGGTCAAACAGACCTCATGTCTTTATTTTAACTTTGAAGGAATTTTAGGAAATGATAGCTACATTATTTAACTGATAGTAAATATAAATTTCATAGTTACATTTTTTCCGAGATAACACTGTATATAACCTTGATCTGGTATTTTGTTGGGAATACTCATCAGCAGAGTTCAAACAACTGTTTATTCCATTTAACTCTTGTAAAATTGCTTTTTCAAGTTAATTTACTTTTTTTACTATTTTTTATTGTATATAGCTTTGCCAGAGCAAAGGTTCAATTCGTCAAAGTTAAAATGCTTGACTTAAAATACATAAAAAACAATAAAACAACATTATAAAACACATGTAAAATGCAAAAAATAAACGATGCCGATTAATGCTTATTTAATTGTTAATATACGATCAAGATTATTATCGGATGATAAATAACAATCACTTAGATATAAGATATTAATAAAATTATGATAACCATCAATTGCTCAGTGACTATTGATTTATTTGAAATTATCAATGAAGTAGGTAAATTACAAAGTCATCGCATACTGTTTGTAATACACAAGCAAATAAAAATAGTAATAAATTATCTTGGTAAATCATCGAATGAATATCTGATATTGCATAGATTTTCCAGCACTCGTAAACTGATGTTTTTTTTTTAATTTAAAACGTAATAGCGCGTTGTTGATAAAACCTTGAATTCAAATTTGTTGTTATTGGAGAATTGTTTATTATTGCTTATCAGGAAAAATGACGAAATATACGACAAATTAAATAAAATAAAATGTAAAAACATAATTGAAAAATAATTATATATATATATATATATATATATATATATATATATATTAGCTACGTCTGACGCATGTAAATGCACATGTTTTCAAAGTTATTTTTGACCGAAACAAAATATGTGTTATATTTAAGTAATTTACGAATCATTACTTTCGAATGTCGAACATAGCAAGCATATTGTGGAATACAAACAAATCAATAAAACCACAAGTTAATTTCAAGTGCATTTGAATAAACTTCAATTATATAGATGTTCAGATGGTGCAACAGCCATAAACATCGTAGTTTTACGCAGAGGCGTCTCAAATTATCAGAAACTTAGTAATGAAATGGCATAGTCAGGTAAACACAGTCTCACTTAAGTTTTACACTTCTTATTGAGATCACAAATAAGATAATATGGGAAACGCCAAGTCGGCGCGTGGGCAGCATTCGATTGCACTAGAGCTCTCGCACGCACCGAGATAATGTCGACACATTTTTATACCATTGGATGCTGTAAATTGTCATAGATTTTAAATCTCATGCGCAAATATGTGCATGTTATCCAAAGACTGTCCAAAGACCATTTCAACACAATATGCGCTGAAGTTAATTTATATCTGCTTGGTACAGTACAAAAAGCACGGGGGTAAGTAATATACTCATTCCAACACTATGTAATTTTAATTAATTTAACCCTCTATAGGTCGATTTTTTTTAAATTTTTGTTTTACATCCAAAAAAGGACAACATATCAGTAATTATAAACCTATATGTCCAAATGAAAAACAAAAAATTCTGTTCAAACAAATTCTTTGGTATTAAAGAATTATGTGACTTTCAAGTCTTTCAAGTTTTATACATACTTATATGTATAAAAATGTTATATCAGTTTGAAAAGCCTAGCAAAAGTCAAATATCGATAATATTTGTCTTGGAAACGTTATACATTGAGATTTATGCGCCCTCACACAAAATAAGTTATAATTATTTGGAAAAATATCGAAAAATTTGGAGTGTGACCTGAAAGTTACCTGGGCCTACAGAGGGTTAAAATAAAAAAATTAAAAAACCACAGTTAAATAAATGCAAGTAAAACTCGTTCACTGAAGTGTTATATATATCATAAGAATTTGCGTCAAGAATAACAAAAGAGTAGGAAACCATAATGGACAATTCCACAAATCGAGGCAATTTAATGCAAGATGAGAATATGGTGAGTTTTTTTACTAATATTTATATATGTCGTTAAATGGCATAAAAAAATCTGCTCTGGATCTAAAGTTGTTCCACATTTTACGAAAACTCTGAGTAAACTATGAGGTCTCTATTTCATTTGTATAATGAAAAAATCAAGTGAAATAATGTAATAATATAAATATAAATATTAAATTTTTTGACAAAGTTTAATATGGCGTTCAGATATCTATGTGATGATTCACTCTGGTTACCAACTATGTGTGTTTATACAGAAAAACGGCAAAAAAATTTTTTTGTTTTTTTTTTATATTTTCATTTTATATTTTTAACAGCGATCAGAACTTATGAGTTTTATGAATAAATAACTTATCTATAAGTTAATAATCTATAATAATATAATAAATAACTTATCTAGCAAAAATATCTAACAACGAGTAGTTTCTATTGAAGTCGAGCAAAAAAGGCATAAAAATAATAAAAGCAGTAGTGAAATAAATTAAACGAATAGAATAAAATATGAAGTAGGTATTATATCGAGAGCGCAATTAAATGATTAAATTATTTTCCGCGTATCTGAACCTATCATCTCCACGCAACACCTCGCGCCGTCCGCTCTAACGGTAACATACATCGACAGAGATAATTGAAATTTGTCACACATGTTGAAAATTTTCGATGTCATGCAAATTTATAAAAGTCGGCTTGTCTCGTAGAAAGTTGTTATAGAAAATTGTATAGAAAATTAATAAGCATGTTGTACGCGTCGTAGATGAAAACATTAACAATTTACAACGATTCACCCGCCTACTTCAAGTATAAATCGCGATAAAACGGGAAAACTTTCACAAAGACTACGAAAGACGACGCCGCTTGTAGGAGATAAACTTATCGCCGATGAAAAAATCTTTTCGATCAAAAAGGTTTAATTGATAACCAATGTGCATACAAATAGCCTCATAAAGGAGATTGGAGAATTGATGTGTTTACTTAAAACGAACATAGATTCCGATAAGAATTTATCTAATGACTTTTAATGGTCTGGACCTTTTTCTTTCAATATCGTATGAATGTAATTTACTTAATAAAAAATTCATTAAATGCTTGTTTACAGTCTCTTTCAATAGATCAAGGGTTTCAAACCCAAGAAAGGTAGAAAGGTAAAGTACAAATACTTTTGACGTACTCTGTCCCAAAAGCTTTTCCTATTAATTTAAGAAAATGAAATCTGAATAGGAAACTATATACTTTCTTAAACTGTAATGAGCATTAAATTATTTTTATTTATTTATTAGGCTATTAAATTGATCTTGGATTCGAGATATGTATGTAGATGTTCAATTTTGCAAAAAATGTATTATAATTGCATAAGCAAATAGATAATGCACCAGAGGTAAGATCTGCCTCTACATTAAAAGCTATTTAAATTTTAATAATAATAATAAGCTAAAGTTACTGTAATTTTAATGTTAATAAGTTATATTAGAAAAAATTAAAATATTGATAAATATACTTTAAATTTTTATTGGGGTTTGTTGATTCATATGATTTTGACGATTGACGATGTAATTTGTACAAAATTTTTACAAGTAACCGGCAAAGAGTAAAAGAAATAGATGCAAGATGCAAGTATTCTAAGAAGTGTAAATTACAATTCATTAATATTCGAATTTTATCATGGAATTTATGTAACATATTTAAAAAAGCGGAACTTGTAAGTTTTCATTATAACGCAGCAAAATATAACTCCTTCCTTCATTAATTTCGATGTGTATTACTTAGAAAGTAGTAAAATATTTCACGCGAGCCAGAATTGTATGCCCTATGATAACTTGAACAATTATCTAAAAATTTTTAGATTTAAAAATGAATATCTTACCTTAACGGTTTGGCTCTTTAGTGGTTGATCTGGATCATGTATATATTCGAGACTAATTCCATAAAATTGTCCTTTGTTAATATACGTGATCCTGTCATCTTCTCTCCTTTGGGAACTGCTTATTGGACTTTCGAGATGATATTTAAAGCCACACGTTGAAAATCTGAAAAAAATAGAATAAACATTAATAATAGAAATGTTATGATCCGGAGGAAACTATTGGTAAAGCCTTATAAATTAAAAAGAACTAAGAAAAGTATAAATGTTTTATATTATTATACTAATATGAAGTAATGAAATCAGTTACTCTTTCAAAAACATTACCTATTTTTAATGATACTTATTATTAATAAAATGTAACTCGCTCATATTTAGAAAATTCTTAGAAATTCCTCATAGTAAAATAATGCCTAGTCGGTTACCAAGTTAACATTAATAACGCATTTAAGCTTCTGTTTAATAGGAAGTTGAAAAACAATAAAATTTTATTACTCTAACTAATAAGCGATTAAAATTAATTTCATAGAGGTAATCATTAATATAGTCTTCGAACGGATATTTTAAAAACACTGTTAGGAATGCATTAAAAGTCAATGGATAGTTTGTATAATGGCGTACTAGAACAGTAATTGACAGAATATGAATTTGTAACTTGGTAACTATAAATATCGAAGATTTTCATATAACTAGTTATAATCACGTCATGAACAGGCGTCTGAGAAATGAGACATGTTTCTAGGCAAAACTGTATTAATAATTTGTTATAATATTTACCATAAAATATTTTTAATTCATTTAAGATTCTGCAAATTTTATATCAAGTAAAAATCGCTTCAACATACTTTTCATTATTATCAAAAAAAATTTGTTCAAGTAGAGGTGAAGCATTTGTTTCAGTCTTATGAATTATGGAGATCTATGGCATGAATGAGAAATATATGAAAAATTTGATTAACATTTATATTAGTTTTTTTAAAAAAATATATATGAGTATTACACATCGAATGTGTATCCACTATCCCCTTGGCTCAAAAATTTAAATGCACCTCAACGAAAGCTCGCATTATTCATTGTATATTACTCATCTATAAGCAAGTTTATTATCACTTAAGATTATACATTCGTTGATCGAACACTTATGAAAGTGTAATCAATACTTATGCATATGATTGATGACTAACACATGAATTTACATTAAAACAAATCTGCGAGAAATTTACGCGTAACGAATAGAATGTAAAAGTACAAGTATACTGTTAAGAATAATATACCAGTAGTGAGTTCTGCAAAACCAGGCATTTGTTTAAATCGGATTGCACTCACAGAACCGTATTTCAGAAATAAATACATAAATTAGAAGGCTACCGTAATTTAAAAAAATGGTAAAAGATTTTAGGTAACCATTATTGCAAGGAAAAAAAAACAACATGACTTGAAAAGACGACTGAAGTTATGAAAAAAATAATTTGGTACATGAAAATATAGCTACAATGTATACAGTCCTCATAACACCTAAACTACACTGATTCTGAGATAGGGTGAGATGAGAGAAAAATATGAAGTATGTTTGTTCGAACAAGTTTCCTATATTGCTTTGAGTCAGCGCCCTTTTGTTTTTTGTGGCACGTATATGTTGTGACATTTGTTTTTTGTCCTTTTTGGGTAAAAAAGGATACACCATACTTTGTTAGTGTTATAAATTATTATTATCAAAAATTTGGAAATTCTATCATAAGAAAATTGATTAAAATGATGAATAATTTTGTATCAGGTAGAATGTGACTATATATTTCCGCCTCTCCCTGCGGTCCTGTGACGCGTTCCTGTCTGCTAATAAACATTTTAGTATTCTAATAAATCCGCATTGAACATACTACCAAGAACATCGTTATTATAAACAACTAAAGAAGAAAGTTGTATTATATGTTGTAAATTTTCTCTAATGCAAAGACGTGTCTCCTCTGCAAGATATATTGCATCTTGTTGCTTGTCAAACGTTTAACACGTTTTAGCTACACTTCGTGCCTATTAATACCGGAACTTATTCGCGGGTAATTGATCGATTTGAAATCCGAGACATGGTTTCATAAATGACTGATGTTTCTACAATAACAACGATAAAGGGAAATAACAAATCGAATTTAGGAAGAAAACTCTTTACGGTAAGAGAAAAAGGTAAAGATCGGAAAATGTCTAGTTGCACAAAAATAAATATTATTATAATTATCGATAAAGTCAATTGTGGAAAGGTATAACGATCACGTTTACACCTTTGCCAAATTAAAGATCCAGTTGATCTTTTTTATCCCACCCAGATAAAAGCAAGCATTATTAAGATTATATAAAATATGTTGAATCTAATTCAAAAACCTTTAATCCCGCTCTACCCTACATATAATTTCAAATCTCGTATCTTCTCTTATATATTTACTCATAACGACAAAAATTGTGGTGAATGCGAATATGTGTAATATAAAAATAATTGACTAATTGATTCGACCTAAATATTTTAATTATAAATAGTTACGTCGCCAAAGTGACTGCATATGTAAATCTAATATAAATAATATTCAGCAAGGCGTTTTACATAAATATTCAAATAAAACAAGTTCATCTGCCAGACATCTGCGTAAAAATAAGCAGTTGCTTTAATAAGTAACATTTTTCAAACGGAGACATATGCAATTAACAAAAACCGGAGGATATATAATTAGAAGGTGAGAAACAAAATGTTTACGCAAAATGAAATGATGTATTACTTTTTAATAACACACACCGGGTAAGGGCAGTCCCACACGGTGGAGAACCCACACCTGAGGACTGAGGGAAAAATTAAACTGATGAAGATTTTGACTCGTGCGTACGATGACTAATATTTGTGGGCACATTTAACAACGAAGCAACTCAATCAAGAATTGCGAATACTCTTAAAACCGTAATCAACTCGTTATTCTTTTGTGTAAATGCTTTTAATTCCTAAATTGCATATATTTATAAACTAATTAATCATTTGAATGAATACATTCATACAATTCCTTTATATCCCTTATATATATATATATATATATATATATATATATATATATATATATATATTTAGTCATCGAACCCTCCCTGAACGACTGGAATAAATTTTATAAAATTAATATTTCGTTCATTCTAGAATAGGTCATATTTACAAAATCAAACAAATAATAAATATATTTGTTCTAGAATTTCCATCAATCTTTGGATATAACATGTGATTAATAGTAATTATTTACTAATAAATAATTTAATATACGAAGAAAATCGGTTATTGCTCCACATTCCTGAGAATATGCGATCTTAATCGTAAAATTTACTGATATTATTATGCCTACAGCGTTGTAAAGTGTAAAGTATTAGATACAGATTACAACTACACTTAGCAAAGAATTTTAAAAATCAATAATTTTGTCTAATAAACGATGTTATATCGGGCCACTAATTTATAAGTGAGCTCTATTTTAAAATATTGTTAAGCAAAAAAATTCATTACTTTTTATGAATAAACTACATTTCTAACATAGATTAAGTGTAAACGAATCGTGATAATACATTTTTTAACAAATCATTTAGATGAAAAATATTTTTTTGGACGTATAGTAATTAATTAGGTTATCATACTCATTATTAGCATTTTAAGTGCAACTCATTGTTTATAAATTGTTTGTAAATATAAATAGTAGTAAAATAATGAAACCATTAAAAAAATATGCATTTCAAATTGAATCTAATCTAACAAGTCAAAAGAGTTAAAAAATTATTGTATTCTGATTATAATGAATTCCAATAATCTTGGTAACATTCCTTAATAACATAAGATTTTAGTAACAATTTAAAATTTAATTCACACCAAATACAAAATTATCATTTTCAATAACTATTATTATCAATAGTGACTATTCAGGTGGCAATGTAACATTACAATTTCCAAGTAAATTTTGAACAATTAGAGTCGCCCTATTAGTTTTCAATCGCTGGTGCAGTATGTATTCCAATACAAAAGGAACTACTAAAAAGACATCTGACAGTGATTACCTAAATGAATTCAATCAATTCTTTAATGAACCGACGGCCAATAACTTCTGAAACGTTACAACAATTAGCCCGAGGCAAATATTGTCAATAGGCGAATGCAACAACCCAAGAATAATGGGTTTGTTAGAGTGGGCATATATCTGCATAGACTGTTTATAGTTTGCATGCGATCATTATTATATTCGTAGGTAATGAAAACGTATTTTTGATTAAGCCTTAAGATTTCAAATAAATTGATGAATTATTAAAATTAATTAATTATTCAATTTGAGGGTGAATTAAATTAAAAAAGTAAGTGAATATAATATATGATATAAAGAATAGAATTAAATTGATGAGGATAGCTTGTTAAGTAAATAATATGAAACTATTTTAGAGCCTCAATAAGAAATTGTACCGAGTGATTTCAATGCCAGTAGTGGCGACAAACCGTAAATGTAAAACAATAATGCACCGTGTGTTGCATGCAGATCGCACGACGTAATAATATATCAACACTTTTTCAATAAAATCAATGGAGTATTTATGATCATGTGTTTTCAAATACCATTAAATAAGGAAGCAAATGCAATACATCATCTGACAGCAGATCTACTATCTACTACGTTGATGCTAGTAACTTAACATCGATGATATAAATTTACCGATCCTCAGTTTTCCCGCCTTCTAAGTGTATTGCAGTGTTGCATTCAATAAACCGCATGGCAAACACAAAATTGAGTTTATCACTAGAATCTAAATGCTGATTAATAACATTTCTGAAATAATTATACAGGCTGCACTGCGAGACCTGTGTACCGGCTTTTATACACACAAAGATTAAACGGACGGAACCTCCATGTAGGGGCAACATTGTGTGAGGTTCGCCATAAATTTTTTTCTTCTTCGACCCCTGTACGGCACGTCTTATAATTATCGATTATTTTATTAATAGAAAACAGTTTCTCTTCGGCCGGTAGTGAAATAAGACTTACAAAACTTCGCGGGAGAGCTTGCAAGCTTTAATTATTATGAAGTTTAATCAATTCAGCGTTCGATTCGAGAGGTGATTATTAAAGGCCATACAACATGTCTCTGTAAAGGGACAATTATGGGATATAA